CTGATATACCAGACCTCAGTTTCATAGTTGAATATTCTACAACGCACTTAATATCTGTCATAAATATTCAGAAGCCACCCGGTGATTTGACCAGTGAGTGAGACTAAACTTTAACTTTGTAACATTGGCGTTTGCAGGGCTCCGAGAGAGATCACAGCCATGAACATCCATCAGGCGGTCGGTAGCATCCCCACCTGTGACTTCCTCACCAACACACACATGGGTTACCTGTCGAAGGACAACTGAGGCATAAAGAGAATGACTTTGACTGGTAACTGACTCATACAGAGATGTGACGACTGTCTGAACGGCTGGTTGTGACAGAAACACTCTGTGAACCGACAGCTCTACTGTGTGAAGATTCACACCTTGATGTAGTCTGTTGCCTCAGGTTGAGCAGTAATAACTAATGTACTGTATTCATTAACTTGATCATAGAAGGGCTCAGCTTGCTTCTCACAGCAGCCACACAGCAGCGGAATAACAAATGTTTCTAATACTCGGGGTATATTGTAACATTTTACTCCTAATATATCGAGAGAAGCGGCATTGTGGGACTTGTGTTATTTGATTTTGAGGGGCTGTCGTGCTCTTGCTTACCTCATAACAAAATTATTTTAATGATGAAGTGTTTCCTGCCAGACGGCCAGCTAGTCAGCAAGGAAATTAAGCCTGAGTGACTTACAGGGCTAAATAATAACATCAGACAGCTGTCCCCTCTTCTTCTTCATCCTGCTGTCATTTTCCCTGAACTGGGATCAAGATTCAGTTTACCAGCAGAGGTAGTCGGAAACGCTGATGAACATCTGAGTATTAGAATTCTTATTCTTATCAGTCAAGGTGATGGTCATGTCTACTTACTTTGGGCAAAGCAAACAGAGAGATTCTTCCAAAAGTGCCATTGCCATGGCAACCAACGATCCATCATTACAAACATGCTTTGATGTATTTCAGTGTTACCTGGCAGAGGTAATCATGGCTCTTGCAATACGGCTGTTTTCTAAAGCTGTTCAGAAGAGGTGACCGATTTAATGTTTGTTATTTTTAAGTTGAGATTTTCATCAAATCTGTTACTGTCATTATGAATTCACTCTCACTCTCAATATTTATCTTCTCTCCCTCCCAAACCAGGTTTGATAGCCAGTTGAAAGTGCTTTTTAAGTGTTCTGTTTAACAACAATAATGTATCAATAATGTAATGTACACAGTGTGTATGACCAATATGAAAATAGATGGTGTTTTCAAATCCTGTTTTATTTTTTTATCTTAATAATAATGACAGCGAACAGTAATGCCCCAACAGTAGAGAGTGTGTGAATAGTGGATGTAGTCATCACAAAACGTTAATGAATTGGATAGGAAGTGAGTGCTCGTGCGTGTCGCGTCGGCTGATGTCGTGTTGGTAATTCTGTTTCATGTGGATCTTTGCATTATGTTAATGTGTGGACAGTTGGACGAGTGGAAGTGTTTGGGCTGAGTGGTTGTGATGCTTGTTCAACCAAATTAGTTTAGAAGACACCCAAACATTGTATTTTCATGTTTCAGTGCAAACCAAAAATATAATCAATATTCTTGTAATAAACAAAGAAAAACTCTGGTTGAATTATTTGTTGCAAATGTGTCTCGTGTTCAGCATGTTTCTGTTTTGATGAACACAATCAGAATGGAGAGACTATGAACTGGAGTATCTCTAACTAATCCCTGGTTAGATGTAGACATCTGTTATGCTCGAGAGTTAAAGGGCCAGTTCACCCAACTTACATAAACACACATTTTCTCACCTCCAGTGGTATCTAGCCACGCAGATAGTTTTGGTTTTATTTGGCCGGGTTTTAAAATATGTCTCTCTCTTGAGATTATTTCTATCAGAAGCTAGTCTGGGGGATCTTTAGACCTTGCTGTGAATTCTCATAAGAACTATTTTCTACAAAAGAACTAGTCTTTTAAGGACTGCTAAGGAACTGAAGAGGTTTGTGGATCATCTAGAGTTATTTCTTGAAAGAGGCGATGCAGGTGAAACTATTTGAAGAAATGTGCTTTATCATTTGCTTTCTTACAGTTAGATGAGATCAATACCACTCATTCTGTGTGAGCGGTATTGAGTTTCTCAACTTTTCCAAGTCCCAGACAGAAAGAAAACCAGTAAACAAAATTCCATTCACTGTTTCCGTTATTTTTCTCGCAGGCGAAATCTTAAAGCTGGTCAGATAAAAATGAAAACTATCCACATAACAAGCCCCCACTACCAAAGATAAGAAACAAAATATGCTGCTTTTTTTTTTTGTTGGGGCCGACTTAACAATGAGCACTGAATAGAAAGAGAACAAGCCAGCCAATATGCAGTTTGTTACTGGCATAATTATACTGTAAATTGCTTGTCTATTGTAATTTTTAAGGAAAACCTTTGGTATAATAGCGGTTGATCACAATTAGCGCCCTATTCATACAATCTCTAAATGACTAATAACACCTAGAACTGTGATACAAAAAAAAGAAATACAGCAAAGAAATGACATCTAATAGAAAGTGCTAAGAACCTAATATTCTTTTATTGTGTTTTCACTTACATTATGCTCTTTTTCTTTAACAATAGATTTACAAAATAAGAGACCCAACAATACTTTCTCAAAATAGCAAACTAACTGAATACTGAGGAAATAAATAATGTATTTTCAAGCAGATTTCTAGCAACACCAAGGGGGCAACATAGCACTTAAT